CAGAGGCACCCACGGGCAGAAGCCCAGCCGCCCATTCCCCCAGGTCACCGAACAGAGCAAGGACAGCAGCCAGCCCCACTTACAGAGGTCCAGGCATTCCACAGCGCACACCGGCTCCTTCAACGCACACGACACCCCCAGACTAAGCCCTGTCATCCTCCTCACTGACAGGAGAGGACACTGAGGCGCCAAGGGGTTACGTCACATGCCCAGGGTGCGGGTGGAGCCTGGCCTGGGGCCCAGGCAGCCTCACCCACAGAGGGTGTCTCCCCCGGCAGGCAGCCGCGTCTCCCACCCTGACTCCGGTGTGCTCCGGGAGCTCACGGGACGTGCCTATCTGCAAGGCTGGCTGTGACAGTCCCCGTGCTCTGCTGCAAAGGAAACCTAAGTCCTCCTCTCACCCCCACGCTCCCCAACGATGCCAAGGCCAGACAGCGAGACAAACAGACCAGCATCATTCCATCCTGGAAAAGACCCGCCTTCCTCCCCGCTAAGCATCTCCTGCAAGCATTCCAGCTAAGAACGGTAAGGGACCTTGCGACAACCCCTGTGGAGGAATGTGGGCCCTGAGGGGAAGGGACACTGGCACCTCAAGCTCCCCGGGGTGCCTCCCAGGCCGGGTTCCTGTTCTCACCACACTCAGGGCTCTGGGAGGGCAGGGGCTCCATCCCACTGCCCCCAACCCACTGCCTCCGTGAACTCACGCCACAACAGACTGCCGGCCACATGCTTTCTGGGGAACTGAGCGAAGGGTCCCCGTGGGGAAGCCGGCATCGATAGCATGGTCTGACGTGCCCAGAGACATACTATTTCCTGCGAGCTCGTCGGCCCAGCTGGCCTCCACGTTCCTCAAGGACAGGGCCGCACAGACGTCTGCTCCTGGACCTCCAGGCAGCCCCAGGCTGAGCTGGACAGAGGAGCACAGGCTGGGAAGCCACGATCCCAGGAGCAGAGGCCTCGGTTCTGGGCTCAGGGAAGCCAACTGGTTGTATAGTCCCTGACATTCGGCGTCCTCGCCCCTCCATCCCCAGGCTGTGATGATGCCGGAGGGACCACATGTAAGTTGGCGACTATTACAGCACAGACCGACCAAGGTTCCCCCACATTTTATACCGCAATGCTCCATAGTCACTGCCTCCTCACCACCTCCTGCCCCACAGCTGCCGCCGCGGGACACAGCTGCCACCGCAGGACACAGAAAAAGGCGCTGGAGGAGACAGAAGACACGGGCGCGAGTGTTTCCAAACAGGGCGCCGAGGAGATCTACAACAAAAATCACCCAGCAGCCGGAACCGGTGTGGCTCAGTGGATAGAGCGTCGGCCTGCGGACTGAGGGGTCCCGGGTTCGTTTCCGGTCAAGGGCATGTACCTTGGTTGCGGGCACATCTCCAGTGGGGTGTGTGTGCAAGAGGCAGCTGATCAATGTTTCTCTCTCATCGATGTTTCTGACTTTCTATCCCTCTCTCTCTTCCTCTCTGTGAAAACTCAATATTTTTTTTTTTAAATCACCCAGCGATTCCCACCAACAGCGCTCCCTCTTTGCTGTCCCTCTGCAGTCCCCGTGGGCATGCTGAAGAGGCCACAGAGTGGGTGTGAGGAAGCAGCAAGCTCTCCTGTGTCAGGGGGAAGGGGGTAGAAGACAACAAGCAGGTCCCCAGGGAGAGGGGAAGACCCAGCCGGGTCACAGAACACACAGCTTCACTGAAAACAAGCTGAGTCAAAGGCCCCTCTGCTGATTTGTCAGAGGGCCCGCCTGTCAGGGGGACCGAGGTGGGCCCTTATGTCTCCCTATGGCGTCCCAGCAGGACCGGGCTCCGAACACCTGTCGATGCCGTCCCTGTGCGATGCCCCCTCGGAGAGCAGGCATTGCACCTGCCAAGGGCGCAACTCAGCCTCGCAGGGACGTGTCCCGGGACAAGATGGCAGTCGCCGGACGCCTGTGAAAATAACAGGGACAGCAACTCCTCCTGACTGTCAGAAGTGCTCAGAGAGGGGGCTGGCTTTCTGCACGGGCCTCGAGGTCACCCGATTGGACCCACTCTAGAAGTTACAGACAAGGAAGAAAGCGAGGGACCGGCCGCCCTCGCGTGCCTGTTTCCCCGTCTGTAAAACAAAGGGCTGGACGAGACACTCTCCAACACCCCTTTCTGCTCAGAGACTCTCCTCAGGGCCTGACGTTCAACTAAACAACCCATCCCGGTCTGCCTGTTCGGGTCAGCCTCTCTGGCGCTGACACCGCCCCAAACATTCAGAGCAGAGCCCCCAGTCATTTTCCACGATCTCTGGACTTCTTCACTGGGGAAGTCACAGACAATTCGCCATCCATCAAAACAGGAGCGCCATACCCCCAGACCGTGAAGGTCTCAGAAACGTGGCACTGTCCATCCACATCACCGGTGAGACCCCTAAGCACCCCTTACCAAACACAGCATCAGCCGAGAACCCCGCCATCCTCTCCAGGGTGGGAGCACTTTGCACCCAGTTTAGAAACATGGCCACCAGGGGGCGCTGCTCTGAAAATAATAAAGGGGAAAACGGGGAGAAAGAACTATTTTTTAAAAAATATATATTTTATTGACTTTTTACAGAGAGGAAGGGAGAGGGATAGAGAGTTAGAAACATCGATGAGAGAGAAACATCGATTAGCTGCCTCTTGCACCCCCCCCACACACAATGTACATGCCCTTGACCGGAATCGAACCTGGAACCTTTCCGTCTGCAGGCCGACGCTCTATCCACTGAGCCAAACCGGTTTCGGCAAGAACTATTTTTGATGTTTTCTTTTCCTGCTTAAGCTTCAGTGACAAAATATCTAAAGGGTCGCTAATGAAAACACAAAGCAGCCCGAGACCCTAAAATGGCCTAGACTTTCTTTCTTCTCAGCAGAGACATCATTTTGGCCAAAAGGCAACTCAGCTTTAAAGGGCAACGACCCTTTCAGAGAGAAAGTAACACTCCACCATGGATTTCCCCAAGGGCCGACATCATAGCTTGCCCTGAGCCTCCCGTTTAGAGACAAAGGTCCATGGGAAGGAAAAGCCAATCTGCAAGTGGAGACGGAGGACCTCGCCCTGGGTCTCAGCTAGAACTGTTTTATGAGAGCCTCCTGATTACCGAGCAAAAGACACCCACCGGGCGACAAGCCTCCTGGTCTGGCTGCAGACACGGGAGGACACAAAGACAGCCGAACCCCAGGCAGACGGGTGCAAGGTCTTCACTGGGATTTCCCAAGTTTCAGATGACTGCAGGGGGAGCTCCGGCTCCTCACACAGAACTGCCCTTCACGACCACATCAGCGGGGCTCCCCCACATTTCCGCAGCGTCTGGAGTACACTTCCCACGAGCACAGTGTTCAAGCGCCCTTTGGTAATGTTCCGCAAGTCCTCAGACCCAGTTTCAAAACTCTGGCTTCGCGTTCCTCCCGATGTCCTTATGCGTTCAGCGTGTCCTACTGACCCTGGGAGGCTTTGCTCTCTCCTGGGGAAGCGGGCCTGAACGGAGGAAGCCAACGCCATCCCCAGCCCAAGGATGCAGGCCCGGGAGGGAGCTGCTTGTCCTATGCAAAGGGCGCCCCTCTGGCTGCTGGGAGAAGGGCGCCTGCGGCCGCCTGCTGGGGCACAGCAGCACCAGGCCCCTGGGACGGGCAGGAGGGGCACAGAGGTGCTGCGAGACCTGGAGGTAAGAAATCATACTTGTTCAATTCTTCATGCTATCTTGGAACCCAGCAGGGATGAAAATGCAAGTAGGGCCCATTTTCAAGAATCAGGCCTATTGCCGAAACCGGTTTGGCTCAGTGGATGGAGCGTTGGCTTGCAGACTGAAAGGTCCAGGGTTCGATTCCGGTCAAGGGCATGTACCTGGGTTAGGGGGCACATCCTCAGTAGGGGGTGTGCGGGAGGCAGCTGATCAACGTTTCTCTTTCATTGATGTTTCTAGCTCTCTATCACACTCCCTCTCTGTAAAAAAAAAAAATCAATAAAATATATTTAAAAAAAAAAAAAAAAAGAATCAGGAGACACTGCCTAACAAAAGGTTTCCACCTAGAGTTTGCAAAAGGCTTGTGAAGCCAAAATCGTCTCGGGCTTTCTGGGAGAATGGGGTTCCCCTGGAGGCTGCTCCAAGGCAAAGCTACCTGTGGGCGGGCAGCAAGGAGAGGCACACCTGGCCCAACACTGGCTGTTTCTGCGGGACTGAGAATGCCATCTTATTAACCTGAGTCTCCACCATTGGGCACCAGCATAGGGGGGTGGCATGGGGGGAGAGAGGAGAAGGACCATTCTATACCACATGCGTTTATACCCAGCACCTCAGCACCAGCCACTCCCTAGTTCTGGGACCCCTGGCACCCCACCTCTCTGCGGATGGATCCCCCTTCTCAGACACGTGGCCCAGAATCACCCACCACCCGGCCAATGCTCGAGGCTAGTGCGAGGCTCCGTTAATGAGACAGCAAATCCCCACCTACGAGCCGAGTACTGCTCCTCGCTTCACATCCATCGGCTTATCCCAGCGCCGTGCAATGTCAGCTTCAAGAGCTGCACTCAGGGGCACACAGTAGGTGGTCCGCAAACACACGAACACGGGAGCCCCTTCTCCACGAAGAGAGGGGGACGGAACGACAGAAGAAGAAAAACACTCTAGTCTAAAAAAGTAACCACCAGCCTCGGGCGGAGCTTGGATTCCCCCCCGATTGATTCCCCAGGTCCCTCCACCGCCTTCGGCGGCGCTCCCACCGCGCCCGGGGCGCTGCAGGCGTCCCCGCCCGGGGCACCGTGCACCTGAGAGCGCCCGGGGCTGAGCCACACGCTCACCCTGGGCCCCCGCTGCCCCCGATCACCCCCGGCGGCCGCCGCAGCCACCGGGCTCCCGGACCCGGGGTCCCGGGCACTGCTCCCTGCGCTCTGCTCCGAGCTCCCCGAGAGCCGGCGGCGGGGCTGCGCCGGGCTCCGTCCGGCAGGGGATCCCCGGGGCGCCGGAACCCCCGCTCCCCGCTTACCTACCTGCACAGCTCGGCGAAGGCCTGGAAATTGAGCTTCTTGATTTTCTTCTCGCTCAGCCAGTAGCCGACTCTCTTCCCTTTCAGGAAGGTCTGCATCTTCCTCCTCGGGCGGCGCGGAGCTCGGGGCCGGAGGAAATCGCCCACCCGCAGGCCGAGTCTGGCGGCCGGCGCGCGCCGCGAGCGAGCGAGCGAGCGAGCGAGCGAGCGAGCGGCACCTCCTCCCGGCGGCGGCGGGGACGCGGAACGCGGCTCGGCGCGCAGTCCTGCCGGGAGGGGCGGGCCGGGGCGGGGCGGCGCCGGGCGGGGAGCGGCGCTCAGCGCGGCCAGGCCACTGGCTGCCGCCGCGCCGGGCCCGCCCCCACCGCCCCCGCCGCCTCCCGCGGGGCTCGCCGGCCGGCGCGCAAGTTCGCGAGCGCCGCGGCGGGGCCGGCCCGGAGGAGCGCGGGGAGGCTGTGCTCCGCGGCGCCGCCCCGCCCTCCGGCCACCGAGGGCCGGGCACCCACCCTCCGGGCGCCCCGCCGCCCCAGGCCCCCCTCCTCCCGCCTCTTCACCCCCGGAGCGCGGGCGGCGCGGGCGGCCGCGTTCCGAGCCGGGCGCGTGCCCTTCCCCGCACGCTGGGACCCGGCGGGGCACACGCCGCCGCCGCCGCCGCCCGCAGCCCCCCGCGGCCTCGCCCCGCCCCGCCCTCGGTCCTCACCCGCCGCCCGGTCCTCGTCTTGGCGGCGAGCACCCGCCGGGCCCGGCCCCGCCGCCGCCGCCGCCGCCGCGCTGACCCGGCCGGCCGGCCCGCTGGACCCGCGGGCGGAGGAAGCGCGGCCGCGCCGGCCGCCAGGGGGCAGCACCGCCCGCCGCCTCTTAAAGGCGCCGCGCCTCTCCCGCCTGGGAACGTGGTGCTGGTTTGGGTCCCGGGTCCGGCTGTGGGGCTTGCAGACGGAGAACGCGGGGCTGGGTGTGGGGCGGCCCTGGGCAGGCGGTTTTACTTTTTTAAAAGCGGGGATGTGGGCATTTTCTGCTTGTCCCTGGGCAGTGGTGGAAGCCCAGTTTCATTCATCCGAAGCAAGTCTGTGCGCCCGGCAGCGTCCGGCCCCTCCCCCAGCGCCGTTCATCGGAGCCGCCGCGGCCGCGGGGGATGCGGGCGTTCGGTGAGGTCATCTCTGCCCTCGAGGACTGACGGGTCCAGGCCCAGGACGGTGACCCTGCGGCGGGCACAGGAACACCCACGGGCCTTTTTAGGCTTAGGATGTTGACTCACACTCCGGGTGTACCCTTCCACCGAGGGGGAAGGGAGGGTACTAAAAGCATCAAGAATAAAGGGCAGGCCGAAACCGGTTTTAGAGCGTCAGCCTGCAGACTGAAAGGTCCCAGGTTCGATTCCGGTCAAGGGCATGTACGTTGGTTGCGGGCACATCCCCAGTGGGGGGTGTGCAGGAGGCAGCTGGTCGATGTTTCTCTCTCATCGATGTTTCTAACTCTCTATCCCTCTCCCTTCCTCTCAATAAAAATAAAAAAGAATAAAGGGCAGAGCACTCGGTAGACCCTTTCCTTCTGGGTGCAGGTCAGCGGCAGCCTCAGCGCCCTTGATCCACACCCGCAGCCGCCCTGCCCGCGCCCTAGGGACCTGCTTCTCCTAATGACAACCCTTCCCCTGGTTTCCCCGAGTTACAAGGAGGTGAGGCTTTCCCCTCCGGGGCTGGAGGAGAAGTCGGGCCTGTCCTCTGCCTCCACCTCTCAGCTGGCCTGCACACTCTCTGTGTGTGACCTTGCAGGCCCCTCAGCCTCACCGAGCATCAGGCCCTCCACTGACTTCCCAATGAGCCCTGCCTCACGAGAACATTTCCAACGGCCACAGAAAACATAAACTGGAAAAGGAAAAAGATGGTAATAATTATAAAACAAGTTTAAAAAGAAAAGAAAGCTGAACAGCGCTTTAGCTATGAGGTCTGTCTACACCGTAGGGTGTTATGGGGGTGTGGTGGGGACAGGGAAGGCAGGGGAGAGATGTCTCATTGGAATAACGCCCCTGGCAGGTGGAAGTGCCCAGTTAAAGTGACTAAATGAATGAATGAATGAATGTCAGGTAAGCCCCTCCAAGTGGCCCCTGACCTCTCAAACCCAAAAGATGCAAAGGTGGCCCTGGACAGTTTTCCCCAGTGGTTAGAGCATCAGCCTGTGAACTGAAGTGAGGCAGGTTCCATTCCTGTCTAGGGGCTCGGCCTTAGCTGCAGGTTCCGCCGGCCAGCCGGTGGGGATGCATGTGGAAGGCAACCAACATCCGTGTGTCTCTCATGTTGATGTTTCTCTCTGTATGCCTCTTCCCCTCCCTTCCATTCTCAAAAAAAATTTTTTTAAAAAATCAATCAATCAATGGAAAAATAAAATAAAAAATTTAAAACTCAATGGGGAAAAAATCCTCTCTTGAGGATTAACAAAGGTGCAAACGTGGGAAACTCCCGAACAGGAACCTAAAAGAGAGACGCCCACACTCCCTCCAGGAGGCAGGTGAGCCATTAAGGGGATTAGGTGGGCAAGTCCATGGCGAGGGCCACCTGGGAGAGAATTCCCGCGCTGGGAGAGGAGCTGTGGTGGAGAGAGGACCGCGGGGAGGAAGGACTCTGCCGAGGGGCAGGAGTGGGCCACCCGGAAAGCCCTCCTGACCCTCGTCCTCCTGGGAGAGAAGGAGGCTTTGGCAGGTGAGACAAGGTGATGATGGAGGATCCAGACCTCAGATCCAGCTGTTGGACTTGAATTCCAGCTGTGTGATTTTGAACAAGTGTCTTGACCTCTCTGGGCCTTCCCTGCCTCACCTGAGACCCAAAGAGGGTGTCTATTTGTAGAAGAAAACGGAAGTACGTTGTGATATCCCCATTCTGCGCCAGTTTGGCACACGTACCGGTAGTTAAATGTACCAGTTCAAGATGTAGCCAGACGGGTACGACCCGTTATCCGAGCGACTGGGGGAGAGGTAATAAAATGCCTGAACCCTGGTTCGGTAATCTATTCAATGGAAGTGGCTCTCAAGCCTCGTTCATAAGATTGTCCAGAAGTTCAACTGAGTGCAAATTCATAAAGGACTTTGAACTTGGAAAGGAATATGAATTTGTGAAGGAACTAGATTCCGAAAGGGCCATACCAGACATGCCTGATGAGTGGTAGCCACTCTGTGCTGTTACTATGACATCATCCATACCATGGACTCACCTTTATTTTTTTTTTTAATATATTTTATTGGTTTTGTACAGAGAGGAAGGGAGAGAGATAGAGAGTTAGAAACATCGATGAGAGAGAGTCATCGATCAGCTGCCTCTTGCACACCCCCTACTGGGGATGTGCCCGCAACCAAGGTACATGCCCTTGACCGGAATCGAACCCGGGTCCCTTCAGTCCCCAAGCCGACACTCTATCCATTGAGCTAAACCGGTTTTGGCTGGACTCACCTTTAAAATAATGTCTACCCGAAACCGGTTTGGCTCAGTGGTAGAGCATCGATCTGCGGACTGAAAGGTCCCAGGTTCGATTCCGGACAAGGGCATGTACATTGGTTGCAGGCACATCCCCGGTAGGGGGTGTGCAGGAGGCGGCTGGTTGATGTTTCTCTCTCATCAACGTTTCTGGCTCTCTATCTCTCTCCCTTCCTCTCTGTAAAAAATCAATAAAATATATTTAAGTATATATATATATATATTTAATATATATATATATATATATATATATATATATATATATATATATATATATATATATATATATATAATGTCTATTCGTTCACTCACTAAATATTTATGAAGCACCTGCGATGTGGTAGGCACTGGGATCGGCAATGATGAACATTGCTCTCTGTCCTCCTGGAACTTACATTCTCATGGAGCCGTGGATGAAAAGGGGGGTTTTATGGAACGTAATCTCAAGGTTGACCTGATCATAAATTCCTACCTGGGCAGGTCATGGTAGGTAGTCATCTCCCAGGTGTGTGACTAGAGTGAAAGGTTAATCCCTATCAGGAAGCCCTATCTGTGCACCGAGGTTAACACACCTTTGAAATCACCCTTTCTGGGCCCCTCCTTCTACAGCCTGGCCCCCTGGGAGGGAGCACAGAATCTTAACCGTCCTGTGACCCGACTCCTGCCTTGCTTCCTCCCACCTTCATGCAGTCTTCCTTACCTCTCCCCTTCCTTCCAAATGCTGCAAACTCGCTTCTTGAAAGCATCTTGCTCTTTCTGTTGAGAGCTTGCTTCCAGATGTGTCCTCTGTTTAACTAGTCCTTCAAGCTGAAAGGAATTGGAGTTTTATTCAAATTCATCTTTTTAAAATAGCATTTTCCAACATCACACTTTAAAACATTAAAAAAAAAAAAAAAAAAAAAAAAAAAAACCAGCCTAGCCGGTTTGGTTGGGTGGATAGAGCATCAGCCTGCAGACTGAAGGGTCCCAGGTTCAATTCCAGTCAAGAGCAGATGCCTGAGTTGCAGGCTCGATTCCCAGTGGGGTGTGCAGGAGTCAGCCAATCAATGATTCTCTCTCATCACTGATGTTTCTATCTCTCTCTCCCTCTTCCTTCCTCTATGAAATCAGTAAAAATATATTTAATTTTTTTTAAAAAAAAAAAGCATTAAAAACAGCTCCATACTGTCTTCTAAACATCCATATATTTACATACCCAAATTGCCTCTAAAACTTTACAAGTGGTTTGTCCAAACCGAGACCTTGCACTGTTCCTGGCTGTGCCTCTTGGGCCCGTCTGACCCGTTTCCTCCGTGAGCGAGACTGGGCGGTTGTCCTACAGAAGCGCTAGCCTTCTCGGGTGGTCTGGTTGCTTCCTCATGGCGCCATTAAGCTGGTTCCTCTTCCCCTACATTTCTTGGAAACTGGAAGTTAGATCTAAAGTCTTGATTAGGTTCAGCTTCAAAGTTTCTGGCTGAAGGAGGTTAGAGATAGCGTTGTGTGTCCTGGAACATACATCAGGTCTGGTTGTGCTAAGATGTGTACATAGGTATCCACCCACATGACCACAGCCTGAGTCCAGGCAGGGGGCGTTCCTAGCTTCCCACTCCCCAGCTGGCCCCCCCACCCACACAGCAGCCCACAGACAAAGGAAATCTC